ATCAATTAAATACAGCTTGAAATCAGTTAAATACAGCTTGGAATCAGATAAATCCAGCTCAAAATCAGTTCAAATGCAGCTCAGAATCAGTTAAATACAGCCCAGAATTAGTTAAATACAACTCAGAATCGGCTCAAACAGCAAAGTCAAATCTCCTGTGCTGGATTTACCCTCCAATCGAGCTCTACATGGAGTGAAAATCCCGTTGGTAACTCCCAGTGTGATTTTGGGCAGGAAAGTAATGTCCCAGTGTGAGGACTGAGCACTGTACCCTCACCCAGTGGCATTTTGGCGGCAGTGATGGGGTTAATGGCTGAACTCTGCCTTCTGAAGTGGAGTTTTAATGTCACTTGGGGCTGTCACTCAGGGAAACAAGAGGGAGAGTCGATTGTGTGTCTCAGGCAGTGTCTCAGGCAACGATTGTGTGTCACAGGCAACGAGATCCCACCAGGAGAGTGGGAAGCAAACGCTGGAAGACTTGCAGGATTCAGCTGAGCAGGGAAAAGGAAAAGTGTCACACGACTGAGCCGCTGCTTCCCCCTGAGAGAATCAGCCTTGGAGTGGGGTCAGGACAAAGGGGGAGTCGCTGGGGTTGTGTTGGGACTTCACAGATTCCACGGAATTGGGCAGCGCTGGGAGTTGGTGTGAGGGCCAAAGGAATCACAGATCCCAAGGGACTGCAGCCTCCTGGATTCACAGAGGTGGTGGAGAAGGAATGGAAATGGGAGAGTTTATCCCAGCTGGGAGCAACGTAACGAAGGGCTTTTGGGGAAACAAGGGCGCGAAAACAGGGCTGGAATTAGCAGAGGAGGTGGTTTCTCCTGGAAGAGGGGAGGCTGCAGGAATAGCTGAGCCGTTGGGTCTGCAGAGGAGTCATTCCCAGTTAAATCCCGGGGAGGAGCTCTGCTGGATGCGTGCAAGTGGCTCTTGGAAGGATCCTGCAGAGGATTTAGGGAGAGCACTGTGCTGGAGCAGCCCCTGGCTCCCTTCCAGCCCCGGGAGTTCTGACAGGGAGCCAAGGTGTGACGATGAGCCCTTTCCGGGGAAGCGGGTCCGGATGCTGGGGAGGTGGGGTTGGGCTGCTGGGATTTGTGGTGGTGCTGGCAGGAGGAGCCCCACAACCCCCCGGGGAGGAAGGGGAAGGACATCCAACTGCTCCTTTCAATGGCTCAACTTGTGCCAGTTGGGATTGCACTTGGAGTGTATTTACCTGGAAAAGAGATTATATTCCAGCCCAGCAGCTCCTTCTGAGGTAAAAGGTGGATTTTTTTTTGGTGTTAACCAAGAACCCCTCAAAGGGGGGTTGTTGGACCCTGTGTCTGCCCATGGATTTGACAGCTCCTGGGTGGAAAAGTGCTGCTCTCCCTCTGCTCTTCCCCCAGGATTGATCTGACGTGGAGATTTTACTCCCAGATCCACAGCAGTGCTGTGGATCAGTGCCCTGCTCTCTCCATGCTGGGATCATCACAGGATCCTGGAATGGTTTGGGTTGGGAGGGACCTTAAAATCACCCAGTTCCACCCCTACCATCAGCAGGGACACCTTCCACTAGCCCAGGCTGCTCCAACCTGGCCTTGGACACTTCCAGGGATGATGCAGTCACAGCTTCTCTGGGAATTCAATCCAGGGAAGAGCTGGGAGGCTCCATGTTTAAAACTTCCTGATAAATGCCAGATTTTGGGAATGGGGGGAGAGGTTACGGTGTGGCTTGTGGGCAGGTTTGGCACCAGCCCCTCTTGCATTTTTGGGGGGGGTCACAATTCCTCCTGCAATTCCCTCCCTGGGGCCTGCTGAGCCTTCCCTTTCCAAGTGGATGAAACCCTTGGCTTTGGGCTTCACGCTGAGAGGCTGAATAAGGAGAGAAGTAGATTTATTAAAGTTTATTTAAGGCCAAATAAGTGTCTGGAGTCGCTCCTGGGGCCGTTGTGAACAGGCACTAATCAATTCCTGGGCTCAGGGCCGTGGAAAGGGTTCCATGCAGGAAGCATCCAAGGCATGCAAGTGTGGAAACCTCCCTCATTCCTCATTCCAGCCCCTTGGGAGCTGTTGAAGGTCCTTCCCTCTGTGCCCCAGTGGTACCTGGCAGCCCCCACATCCCTGGGAAGTGGCTGCAGCCCCAGGGAACATTGCTTTGTGGTGTGTGTGTGTGTGTGTCCAGGAAGAGTTGTGGTGTCAAATTCCATCCCTTTTCACTTCGGAAACCCTTCAAATGTTCTTTTTAAAACCCCTCTTCTGCAAGTTGCCAGCCTTCCCTCCATCCCAAATCCTCCTCTGTATCTCTGCTGTGCTCGGGTGCCAGGGCTGGTTCTTCCTCCAGTCGTTAGCAAGTCGTTTGGTTCATTTATAGCAACTTCCAAGTTCTCCTGCCAGCCCTGAGAAGTGACATTTAGCTTGCAAACACAGGAGGTTAAAGCTTTAAATCCCAGAATAATTATAAATGGGTTTGTTGGGAGCATTCCTCTTGGTAACAGATGCAATAAAACATGATTCTGCTACCGGTGTTGGCCCTGTTCGCTTGCAGAATTCAGAATTAATCAAGTTTTTAATGTGGGGTTGAATTCCAAGTGAGACACAGATGGTGCTTTACAGCTCCTTGGGTTTTGGGATCAGCTGGAGTGACTAATGCAGAGCTTACCTTGCAGGTTCAGTGCTTAAACACCATCCTGGCTGAGCTGTGTGTACTGGGAACCGACTGGAAACCCGTTTATTTGGGGTCTGGAGGTTGTTTCCAGCTGGTTCCCGGGGATCTGTGCCCCAGATCAGCAAGATCTGAGAGTGTCAAACTGTTCACAGAGTTTGTGGTTCCCACCCCCAGGCATGTGCAGGTTCTGTACCATCTCAGCCTCCAGGGTAAGCTCCTATTAGAGACTTTAATCCAGATCTTGGGGCTGCTGTCATTCTGGATTGTCCTTCCAGCTCTCCAGACCGTTGGATAACATTCCCTGTGTGCGATGCCAGCCCGTTTCCCTGTCAGCCTGACAATGCAGAGCACACAGGGGTGAGCACTCCTGCTTTCCAGCCCTTCCCTGAGGCTTTCTGGGAAACCAGCCTGGAACATTCCTGGTCAAAACCCCCCCCAGTTTGAGTCTGACTTTAGGCTGTGCTCAAAGAGTGTGGTTTTACAGGTGGTGCTGCTCAGCTGGGGGATGTGGAGAGCCCTTTTGAAAAGGCAGAAAGCTTTGCTAAGCTTGTTTTTTGGCTCAGCTTTTCCTGTTTTGAACTTGAACTTCACGTGACTGTGGCGTAAGCGGAGAAACGAGGCAGGAGGGTGGGGTGGGGAGGGGAAATCAGTGGGGGGGATAAAGTTGAATTTTTCATGTTTAATGGGCAAGGGGCTGCCTGCTCCGCTCCATCCCGCTGGAACATCTGGAGCAAACAGCTGGTTTGGCTTTGCTGCTCTGCAAGTGGGGCTTTGGAAGGGGAAATGAAACCCCCAAAACCTGCCCCCACCCAGCCCCGAGCTGGTTTGGGTGAACTAAAATCTCATTTGTCACTTCTCCAAGTCGGCCCTAATATAGAGAGAAATCTGGGTGGCTTTTCCCCCACTGCTGCATTTGGCCAAGATGAGATCCACTGCCCAGTATGGAGCTGGGTTTCTCTCCAGGTTCCACTTTGGGTGTCTTCCCAGAAACGCTTCGGGAAGTCTCTCACACCGACGAGTGCCCTGGAAAAGGGTTTTTCTGCCTTTTTTTTTTGCTGATCTCCTCCTTCCCCTCTCTTGCAGTGCGTGCTGTATTTATGGAGTTTAAAGATAAATCACCCCAAAACGTTGTTCCTCCTTCGAGGGAACCACGAGTGCAGGCACCTCACAGAATATTTCACCTTCAAGCAGGAATGTAAGTACCAGCAGCGTGAGAAGGAATTCAATACATGTAAAAAATATGTTTTTAAATATATTTGAAAATAAAAGGTGCTGGAAGCAGGTGTGGGCCTTAATTTTCGTGCCTCTGAGCACAAAAATTAATATCAGAGCTGTATATATAATAACAAGATTAATCAGATTACTCTCAGACTAATAACCAGATTAATATCAGATTAACACCAGATGAAATTAATATCCAGAGCTGTAAAAACCTGTTGTCTGTTTTCCTGTTTACACAGCTCTTCTCTTTCAGCCCCTGCTATAGAAAATACCCCAAAAAACCCCAATATATAAGTCCCACAAAGCACCAGGGTTGTGTTGATGTGGCCTTTTGGTTGCAAAGAGGAGGAAATGGGAACACATCTCCCCTTGAGGAGCCAGTCACATCCTCCCCTCCCTGACTTCCAGGCCCAGCAACATATAATCACTGCCAGGAGTCTTCCAGCTCCAGATTGTGCAGCTGGGATCAGTGATTCCAGTTGGAAGCAAGGGAAGGGTTTGCTCCTCCCTGTTTGCACTGGGGAGAATCATTTACCTTTAGGATTGTTTTAGTTCAAGGTGGTTTTTCTGCAGCATTTATGTGGCATCTCTGTTTTAATGTGTGGGAAAAAAATCGTCTTCCCCTGTGCCTGGATGAGGCACCGGTGGAGATTGTCATCACTTGTACCACTGAAAGATCCACTGTGAAAATCCATTTCTCTGAGGGCATCCTGGGCAGATCCTGCCTCACAGCACCCGTGTCCAGCTGAAAAGGCAATTCCTGACTTCAGGAATGTGTGGTGTTGCTCTGCCAAATCCGACAGCTGCTGCATTTCCCTGTCTATGACCTGCATAGGATGAGCCTGGAGGTGCAGCAGGGATGTGTAGGGAAGTGCATCCCAAGTTTCTGTCAGGTGGAAACAATCTCTTTTCTGGGTTGATCCCAGTGCAGGTCTTGTAGGAAACACCTTGAAGGGAGATGAATATTCCTGAACAAGTCCAGATTTACAGCAAAGCCTTTTTCTCTTCGCATCCAACAAACGTTTTCTAAGCCAGTATTTTCACTAATACCCAGGTGCAAAGTTGGAGTTGTGAGCCATAAACATAGAGTTTCCATTTCCCCTGAGGAACTGGGCTCCTGGAATTTATTTCCCAGCACTTTGGCTGATCACAGCTGGATTTAATCCCTGTTCCCAGGTCGAATCAAGTACTCGGAGCGAGTGTACGATGCGTGCATGGATACCTTTGACTGTCTTCCTCTTGCTGCCCTCCTAAACCAGCAATTCCTGTGTGTCCACGGAGGACTGTCTCCAGAAATCACGTGTCTAGATGACATTAGGAAAGTAAGTCATCTCCGTGGGGCCATCCCATTGCTTCCAGTTCCAACAGGGGAGGAGGTAATGGCTCGATTCCTGCCCAGTATTCCAAGGGGATGGAGGAGTGTGTGTGTGTGTGTGTGTCCTGCCACAGCTCCCACCAGCAGCCTCCTGATGTTGTGTCCATTTTCCAGTTAGACAGGTTTAAGGAGCCTCCAGCCTTTGGTCCAATGTGTGACCTGCTCTGGTCTGATCCCTCAGAGGATTATGGCAACGAGAAAACGCTGGAGCATTTTGCCCACAACACTGTCCGGGGCTGCTCCTATTTCTACAGGTAAGAGGGGTTTTGGAGGGCACTTTGTGCCTCCCCTTGCACTGAAAAAAAATCAGTTCACCCTGTGGCACCTTGCAGTGTGCCTGAAATACTCTTCTCTTGGCTCTGATGCACAAATTACTGTTTGTTTTTCCTTCCCCTGTAATACTGAGCTCTCCTTAGGTAACTTACTTTATGAAATTGTGGTCTGAGGCAGCAGAGATGCTCCTTTTGCTGGCAGGGTGCCCCGTGAGTGGCTTTCAGTACCAGGATCTCTAGGAAATTATCTTTTCCTGCCTAAAAAAAAAAAAGAAAGCAGCATTTGTGCTGACAGACCACTTGTAAGGGAGGGTTTGGCACCGGGGGTCTGTTTAACAGAACCCTTTGCAATTAATTTTCCAGCCATATACTGGCATTTTTGGGGAGTACTGGACAGAAACCAGGTGGTTTCTGCAAGTGGCAAGAAACCTGAAACCAAGACCACACCTGCTGAGTTACCCTTGCTTTTTTTTTTGTTTTCCAGTTATCCTGCAGTGTGTGAATTTTTGCAGAACAATAGTTTGTTATCCGTAATCCGAGCTCACGAAGCCCAGGATGCTGGGTAAGTGCTGCAGCCCCTGGGAGCTGGGCAGGTTTGGGCTTTTCCTTGGCCAGGTTTTAAAGCACCTGCCCTGTTTTCTTTTCCAGGTACCGAATGTACAGGAAGAGCCAGACGACGGGCTTTCCCTCGCTAATCACAATCTTCTCTGCACCAAATTACTTAGATGTCTATAACAACAAGGGTAAGGGGCTCTTGGGGGGGGCTCAGGGAATCCTTCTCCTACTCTGCCCTCTCAGAATCTCAGGTTGGAAAAGCCCTCCAAGGTCACAGAGTCCAACCTGTGACTGATCTCCACCATCCCAACCAACCCAGAGCACTGAGTGTCCAGTCCTGCCTTGGACACCTCCAGGGCTGGGGACTCCAAACCTCCCTGGGCAATTCCAATGTTTAACCAGCCCTTTCCATGAGGAGATTCCTCCTGATGTCCAACCTGAGCCTCCCCTGGCACAGCTTGAGGCCGTTTCCTCTCCTCCTGTCCCTTTTTCCCTGGGAGCTCCCCCCTCCTGTCAGGGAGTTTTAGGGAGCAGTAACATCCCCCATGAGCCTCCTTTTCTCCAGGCTGAGCCTCTCCAGCTCCCTCAGCTGCTCCTGCTGCTCCAGCCCCTTCCCCAGCTCTGTTCCCTTCCCTGGACATGCTCCTCAGTGTCCTTCCTGAATTGAGGGGCCCAGAACTGGCCACAGCACTTGAGGGGCCTCCCCAGTGCCCAGCAGGGAGGGACAATCCCTGCCCTGCCACTGCTGCCCCAGTGGTTTGGATACAAAAATACACTATTTTTGATACAAAACCCTCTCCTCCAGTTGCATTCTTGGGCACGAAATGAAAGAGAGCTTTGTGTGCTGGGCTGAAGTGGTTGGTCCCCTGACTTAATGTGTTACTGTGGTAATTAGCTGTCCAGTCATAGAGCCTGGAATGAAGCTTTCATTCCCAGCCACGGGACAACGGAGCCCTTTTGTGGGATGCTGCCATCCAAGAGAAGCTGATAGTGTAGGCCAGCTTTCCACTTCCCCCTGCCTCTAAATCATGAGGGGATTTTCCTCAGCTCTGGGGTTTTTTAAACCCTCCCCTTTGGATGTTGGCTCTGTGTTTTGCATCAGTTTTAGCAGCTTTGTTCCACCGACCCTTCAGTATTTCAAGCTTTAGTGAAACAACATGAGTAAACTAAAAAATGGCTCTTTAAGCCTTCTCGTTTTGGGGTGTTGGTAGTTTGATTCTACACAGGTGTAACCTCATGTTGATAATGAAGTTTTATTAACACAGGTACAACTTCCAAAGGCTGGGAGAGCTGGGGGTGTTCACCTGGAGAAGAGAAGGCTCTGGGAGGGCTTAGAGCCCCTTGCAGTACCTGAAGGGGCTCCAGGAGAGCTGGAGAGGGACTGGGGACAAGGGATGGAGTGACAGGACAAGGGGGAATGGGTTCAGACTGAAAGAGGGGAAATTTAGGTTGGATATTGGGAAAGAATTCTTCCCTGTGAGGGTCATGAGGCCCTGGCACAGGTTTCCCAGAGAAGCTGTGGCTGCCCCATCCCTGGAAGTGTCCAAGGCCAGGTTGGAGCAACCTGGGCTAGTGGAAGGTGTCCCTGCCCATGGCAGGGGGGTGGGACTGGATGAATTTTAAGGTCCCTTCCAACCCAAACTATTCCAGCTCTTAAATTCCCAGTGCCCATGGACACGCGTTCTCTTGGCTTTTTCTCTCCCAGCTGCTGTACTGAAATATGAAAACAACGTCATGAACATCAGGCAGTTCAACTGTTCCCCTCATCCCTACTGGCTTCCAAACTTCATGGATGTCTTCACATGGTCTTTGCCTTTTGTAGGGGAAAAGGGTAAGAGAGGTTTGGATTTCTGTTCCGAGTTCCCAGTGACTGGTCACAGTTCCCTGAGCATTAGAAATGTGTCCCATATGTGTTGGGAGAGTGTTGCAGCTCATTAATACCAGGTAGCACTGGGAAAACAGTTCAAATTCAAGGAAATCTTCGTATTCCTGATTTAAATTCTTGGGAAAACCATTGTTTATGCTTGTTTTAAAGACCTTTTACCAACAGGCCGCTCCTTTCTTGCTCTTTCTGCATTATTGATGGGGCTCATCTTGGGTCGTGTAGCCCCACCTCAGAATTTGGAGACATTTCTCTTCCTCTGGGTTTGCAACAGAGGAATTAAAAACTCCTGTTGGCTCGTGGCCCACCGAAAAGGAAACATTCACTTCAGTCAGAGCTTTATTTTGTTCTGGAGGGGGGCGAGGCAGCTTAAAATATGCCCAAGACTCTGCCTCAGCTTTCCAGCAAAAGAGGATATTGTACATCTCCTGGTGACTTTAAATTCCACCCCAGTGTTGTGTGTTTGGAGTTGTGGCTTCAAGCTCTGAACTGCCAAAGGGGATGGGGGTATTTTTTTGACTTTAAGGCACCAAAGGTCTAATCCCCCCCCCAAGTCCTCAAATTCAGCACTCCCAGAGCCAGGTGGCCTGTTGGGGTGGGGAGGGGGGACCTTGGGCGAGCTCAGGCTGTTCTGCAGGAATGTTGGCACCTCAGTGCCCACGTCTGGTTCATCTGTGCTGTGCTTGGACTGCATCCACCTCCTTGGCAGAGGATGGAGCGTGTGTCGTCTGCTCTGGTCCCGCTGCGAGGTACCAGCAGCTGCGGCTCAAAGTGTCTTCAGGCTCCCACTTCCAGGGAATAAACGACCTTGAAAAAAGCATTCCCTGGCACAGCTCGCCCTCCAGATCCCTCTGTGCTCCAGGGTGTGCCCCAGGCCTCTCTGACCCCCCCTGTCTGTGCCTCTTGCAGTCACCGAGATGCTCGTTAACATCCTCAACATCTGCTCCGATGACGAGCTGATCTCGGATGGGGACGAGACGTTGGAAGGTAAAACATCACTGTGGGGACCTGGTGACAGCAGGGGGGGAAGGTGGGGAAGGTGTTTGATGCCTGAGCAGCACTTGATTTATAGCTGGATGCCCAGCTCTCCAGTTCCTTTTTGGCCAAACCTTGTGCAGTTCTGGGTAGGAAACGTTTATTTTTTTTTTTCCTCGTTTGCTCTTCAGTCACAGAGAAATTAAATGACATTCACTGCGACAGACACTTCTTGCCAGCTACTCTGGGAATGGTTTCCTGCTCCTTACACAGGCTGCTGGTTATTTTTTCCCCCAATTCAAAATTTTCTGCACCAAAATATCCACCCAATCTTCTCATCTGTTGCAGTGAGCTCCTGTGTAAAGCGGCTTCTCACGTCACCCCTCCCCAAAAGCCAGAATGCAGTTTTTGGCCTTGATTTTAAGCTGTGCATGAAAGGGACGAATCAGTGGCTGAGCTGACGTGCAGTTTGGAGTCTGGGGGTCCCTCAGGAAGCCGTGGGGGGCAGTGAGAAGTGGGGCCCTGAGCTGCTTCGGTCCCAGCTGGAGACTCTTAACCCGCTTCTCCCATTGCATTTCGTTTTTGCTTTTTTTGGTTTGGTTTTGGTTTTTTTTGTTTGTTTGTTTTTTCTTTCCTCCCTCCCATGAAAATTAAATTTGTTTCTTCTATCTCTGTCTTCATCTACTTGTTTCTTGGTGTCTCCTCTCCCTGAAGATCACTACATTTCAAGCTATCCGAAAGGTACCCAGCTAGAATTTGCTACGAGCTTAATTTTCACTGCCTGTGCCACCAGATCCTTGAAGTGGATTTCCAGAGCTGACTAGTCGGGCAGGCTCTTCATCCCCTTTCAGTTTTAACATAAGCTCCATGTGTTTTTTAACCCTTCTGCGTTCCTCCAGGAGCCTGAGGAACGGGGTCACGTTTCTACCTGATTCTGAATGCAGCCACGTAGTGCATGGCTGAGCCATGGTGCATGTTAGACCTGGGTTTGGCTTTCCTGTCCTGATGTGTACTGGGCCATGTGAGGAATCTCAGCTGAGAGGAGATGGATTTTGTTTCCCCCCGTTTCACCTGGATTTTTGGTTTGGTTTCAGTTCCCTCCATGCTTTTTTCTCTCCCGTCGGGTCCGTGGAGCGGGAGGGGAGTTCACCTCTCTCACCTTTGTGTTTGTGTGGGGTCCGAGCAGAGCTGCAAGGCCCTGGCCAGCCCTTCCCTGTGCTCCTTGGATGCCAAAGCTGATGCTTGCGTGGCACAGCAGTGCCCATCAGCCATCAGACCCCTCCGTGCTCTGCCTTGCAAAACTGTGTCTCCATGGCTGAGTCATTTGTGTCACATCCTGTGTAGTGTGAGCCCACCCAGTGAGCTTCCAACAAAG